GTCTACGAATATGACACAATAATATAGAGATTTGTAGAGATTAGAAGCACGTCTATTACGGCATGAGCCGAGTGTGTGTACGAACTCACACAGATGGCAAAGTGGACAACGAACGTTTGTTGTCATGAGACGGTAAGCAAATTGTAAAAAAATTAATTAAAAATAAATAAAATTAAATAAAATTTAATCTTATTTCTTTCTGGTCGCATTATGTCTCTCAAAATACACGTTACTTAGAACCAAGACTCGACGGTAAATTAATCAAGAACTATTGCGTAATACCGTTATACACTTTATGAAGGCAATTGAAACAAGCCGGCGATTTCACGTCCTCGTGCACTTCTTCGAAGCGCCACATTCCGGCCTATTGCGCCAGGGTCGCTTGCACGGGGATGGGCGCAGTCGCCGCGGTGCGATCGCGGACCCGGAGCAGTACACGGGCGTCGAATCTGGGTCTTCTGCCTCATTGCGCCACCGCCGCCCAGGGCGTTGGCGACGTCGAGCCCCCGCCCCCGCAGACGCAGTCGCAAGCGCCCTCACAGCCACCGCCCCCTTTTCGAAACATCGACTTTTCCACCAGGAACATTCACATAACATCATAGATGTTTGGTTTTTGATGTGTTTCTTTCCATAACTATTTTTTTTTTAGATTTATAAAATCTTGTTATCTTTTTTGAGGATTTCGTACAAGGTAATATCGTTAAACTGCATTTCGAATATTCTCTGAATTGAATATTGATTAGAAAATTAAGATGATGGAGTGCTTTAAGGCTCAATATAGATTAAAATAATATTTACGTATTATGTATATTAGATACAGCACGTTTTACATCGATGGTTTATGAATGAATGTGAGTAAATGGAATATTAGCAAACCACGATGCCCTTAATTTTTTACATTCGATAAACATAATTATTAACATATTACATCTACGTGACCAAACAATAATATATACCGGTATTTCTTTTAAGAACTCTAATTAAAAATGGAAACAAAATGGGAAAATCTATTTGCTTTATCATATTTAAAACATCGATATTTTAAACATCGTTTTTTGTCGATGTTTTCAACGACATCTAAAATCTGATTCTGATGTCTCGAAATACGATGTTTTAATACAATTTTCCATCATAATCCGCAACACTTTCGGTCACCTCGTCAAACCATTACTACAACTAGGCTTCGGTCGACGCCAGATCTCACCATGTAGCCGGGCATGAATCACCGTCACCTCCCGCGGTAAAACTTTCACTGTATTAACGGGAAGAGTGACCACTGTGTACCCTACGCGTACACAACTACTCCACATGTTATTTGATTCTACCACGAGGATTGCTCCCCGGGAAGGGCACATAATGTTTGGTCTTTATCCGCACCCTCATCCGGTGACCACAGAAATTGACGTACCCGAGATCAATCGATCAATCAATCTATCAATCCACCGCTCCCATCCCATCTCCCCGGCTGCGGTCGCCACCGGCGCACCCTGGACCCGCTCTCGTCCACTTGCGCCACTTGCTGCGAGTGGGCGCTTCTCGGTATTTCCGATGCCTCGCCTCGAGGAGATTGGCCAACGCGTCCGCGGCCCGGGCTGCACCGCCGCGTTCGCGCCCGCCACGCGCTGCCCTTCGGGTGGCCCCGACGCACGGGCGCGGCGTGCGGTAACGCTGACTCACCGCCTGCGCATCCGGGACATCCCCGCTTCGATCTCGGGCGCGGGCTGATTTTCGACATCGGTTCTATTGCCGCCCTAGTTATCCGTTGCAGCTGAAGCCCTCAGGCTGAACGGGTGACGCAGCGACGAAAGCATTGATGCTGATGTTTCGACCGTTAGATTACGGTCTTCTTCAGGGCTAGAGTGAGTAAGACCGCGATACGATGGTCGAAACATCGGCGTCAAAGCTTTCTTTGCTGTATCGTTGCGGTATCGTTGCGGTATCGTTGCGGAATCACCCGGACCGCTGAAACAAATGAACACTGGCCGCGGAAGCCTATCCGTTGCACCTGTCTGGTCGGTTTGAATTGGCGACACTGGCTTCACGTATGTACATTTCTCGACCTCCAGCTCATTGCCTTCAATGTTCTAACTGTACTATGAATGAGTGCTTCTTCCGATCGCGTTAACGGCTACGGTCGTTATTCCGGTAAGTGTAGTGCATGTTGTACACCTTAATGTGGCAGTGGACCTTCCCAATGATGAGGGGCAAGGTTTTCCTCCTCCAGTTATCCTTCCCAACAGAGCACCACCCGAGCCGGCCTGCACAACTCGTCAATTTGTTGAAAGTTGATAAGATGGTTAAATTAAATTGGAAAATTAATTATTAAATACTCCTTTCTTTAACAAACAGTCAAAATGCATAAACAAGTTCAGACGTCATGAAACTAAGATAACAAAACCAAAATTTGTACGTAGGTAGTAGATACTGGATAGATGTAACTATTAATGTTATATTTTAGTAAATGAAAAATAATTTAACAAAAACATCGTGCAAAAGTACATACGAACATGTGTACTGAAAAAAATTGTATTTTCACAAATTGTCTGAAATTACACGCAGGTATCTCACTTTTTTCCCTTCAGAATGTCTTAATTTTAATTTCTCCGCCAGCCATCCCTGAAACCATCACGTAAGATTCAACTCCCTAAGAAAAGTTCATGTATCGCAACCGCATGAATTTTCCGCCTCACATTTTTTACGATGGTTCAAGCTCTGGAAACACCATTGACTAATGATACTCGAATTTGTAGTGATCACGTTCGATTCCGGGTGAGAGCTAACTGGGTCTTCTTTGTGAAAGGTTACGACTAATTACGAAGTGCTATATAAAGAAGAGCTTAACCTATTCTAGGTTAAGGCGTGGTAGAAGTCTACATGGAACATAATGGATAGGCAATAGGATGTTGCGTGGCAATGGTTACGAAAGATTCACTATGCGCGTACTATCTGGAGAAAGTGATGAAGTAGTAAAAATTCTAGTTGACTAGTTGACAAAGTTCCGGCTAAAAATTACTTTAATTATTCATAGCAGACATTTCTAAACTTGTATCTCAATTTTTATGTGATAGATTGGATTGTTAAACATGTTTGTTATACATACGAATCTTTTTTTTTGAGTTTCCTTTTTCGTATATTTAATAAGTACCTGGTTTTCTTAAACGTCCTTTTCAATCTTTTCGAATGTTAACCTCTTTTCCGTGGGCTTTTTCTGGTTATGAGGGGAAAGAAATGATGCGTACTCGTCAAAGCATCTTAGTACTGATTTGAAGACACTCGAAGGGATATCCCGCGTGCTTCTTTCATTGGTCGTTTGAAATGAGTTCGGCTTTGGCATTCACCTGGAAGTGAAAGCAGACACAACGAACACCGGCGATCATATCACTTTTCTTACGAACTCAATACCGACAGCCACAAACTTTGGATGGGCACTACGACCTTGCAATTATCAGCACTGGCAATAATTAGGTGTTTGCCTTAGTGGTCTTATCTATCGCTTCTGGTGTCTTTTTCTTACAAACCGTTGCAACTGAGTTAATATCCGTTTACTTCAACAACCTTAATTTCAGATAAAAAAAAGAACGGATCAATGGCAGGTGGTAATTGCAATGTCATATCTCATCAAAAGAACGCTGTAATTTTCACAAGTAGTAGAGTATCTGTCCGACATTAAATATAGGCAGTTAATCAACATTTGATGTCCATAATTTGTAAGGAACTGGTTTAATGGTATTTGAAAGAGAAGATCAATGTTCTTCCCAACATTTTTGTTTTTCTTTTACGCATTGCCACAGCTTCTATGCTCGTGTTCAAATAGGTTGTAGTTCTCAATTCATACTCACATGAAAACGTGTATTATGCAAATACACTACCATCTAAACACAAAACCATAAAATGGAAACTCCAGGTAACTCCAAAACGTCGTGACCCAAAAATATGAAAGAGAGAAAGACAACTGAAACCTTCGAGCGTTTTTAGATCATACACTCAATCGTAATATTTACCCGAGGAAGATAGTAAGAAAAACATTTTACGAACTAATCAATGAAAATTGAAAAAAATATCTCTTAACATTTACGTATTATAATAGGTTACATAAAAGCCAAAAGAAGTCTGTCACGATTGATGTACGTCTTCCTCAGGACAAAAACGTTTCGTGCTGAACAGACATAAAAAACGAACATCAATTACTTGTCGAAGCAACAATAATATTAATAACATATCTCAAGATTAAAACTATGCTTCGGATAAACTCGGACTCAGCCTGTTACGTACTATAAAAGGGTACATAAAAGCCAAAAGAAGTCCATGATGATGGATAAGTAGTACGTCTTACTCAGAACAAAAAAACTTTTCGTGTAGATCAGATATAAAAAACAGATCAATTACTCGACGAAGCAACAATAATATTAATAACAACATTTCTCAAGAATGAAACTGTGCTTCGGATAAACTCAGCCTTAGCCTGTTACGTATTATAATAGGGTACATAAAAGCCAAAAGAAGTCTATCATGATGGATGTAAGTAGTATGTCTTACTCAGAACAAAAAACTTTTCGTGCAGAACACATAAAAAAATAGATCAAATACTCGACGAAGCAAGAATAATATTAATAACATTTCTCAAGAATGAAACTGCTGCGGATAACCTCATCCAAAATGTGAGCGTTGACAGCTGCTCCCTCCCACTTCATCTCCCACCGAAAGGTTGCCGACCACTCAACGCTCCTTTTGCAAAGAGCGCTGCACAAGACGTCAAAGAAGACGCAAAGGAAATCGTTTCCCAACGGACCGCATTCACTCCTCCACGGGTCACGCAATTAACGCACTGTGTGCTAATACGGGCAGAGGCCACCAGGCGGGGCGGGGCGGGGCGCCACTGACTCCGGCGGCGGCCGTCGCGCGCGCTTGCGTCACCGCACAAGATTCGCTTTTTGCTCCTTGGAGTTCCACTGCCATTTGGGCGCCCGCTCTCGCTTCTTTGGGCGACTGTCGCGCCACCGCCGCCGCCGCCGACTTCGACGGTTGCAGTAACGTTGACTTGAACTAGAACGTGTCGAAATGATGGTGTACTCGTGTTTCATTGTTTTGCAAACAATGGTGAGTATATCACCGAAGATCGTGACGATGCAAACGAGTTCGAGGTGTGAATTTCTCAATGTTCGGAGCATCTGGCAGGCAACGGACTGCGATGCTTAAGGAGATGTGTGATCGGTGGCAGCGATGCGGGTCACGGCGTCGCTTCATTAATGATGTCGGGATTTCACGGGAAGATAACATGTGCTCTTAAAACTACTATGGAGAGGAAAAAACGCGTACGTATTACATTAACTGGTCATGGCCGTCTATTTCTTCTCGGCTGGAATGCCTTGAGCAATTGAGTTCAATTTTCATATTTTTCAGATTCTGTAATCCCTGTGTCAGGACAAGTATAATATTTTTTTCTAAGAATTACCAACATTCTGTAGAATTACGATTATTAACTCTTTTGAAATTTGTATAGTTGGTAATATTTTTATGAACCTAATTTCCTCTTTTGATCACTACTATCCCCAAAGCTGAAATTCAAGGGGGAAAATCGACGTCAGAAATGACATGTAATCAAACACATCACATTTACTGAAGATCTTCAAAATGACAAACAACACCTATTATTTACTATGTCCAAGCATTATAAGAAATGTAATTGTAGTGAGGGATTGTTCTTTACAATGATAAATCTTTCACAACTAAATTAACTGTCTCGCGGTTGCATAAAGAGAGTTAATAATTAGGACCAAAACTATAAAGGTTAATGATGGAGAAGATGCAGATGACAAAAGAACCGATAATACAAAAGAAGGGGTATCATAAAATTAACCTTGTGCATTTTAACCCGTTTTTTAAAATGTTATTACTTAATATCGTTTTTTTCTTTTCTGCTCCACTTTCCCATATCCATTATTTCACTCCCAGTGTATTCGATACTTTTATTGTCTTTCTAAATTGATCATTGACACCTTTTAAAGTATTGACTACATACAATTTATTGTACTATTATAATTAATCACAGTAGTATCTTAATATGTTTTATTTTGTTTTGTTGGGAAACTTAGAAATGTTTTGTCGTAGTGCATCTATGTATTCTTTACAATCCGTGCTACAAATTGGCTTCACCTTGACAAGGTGCTTCGATTTAAACCGACTTACAAAAGAAATGCTAGAATTGAGAACAAAACAATCTCTGCCCATTAACTCATTTATTATTTGGCAACTCCCAACCCTCCCGTTTAAAAGAATGCACTTGGAGTAATCGCTCCATTGCAATCCTTTGAATCAAGTTCTGTTGTCGCAATAAAAAAACCGTAGTTGTACTTAAAAGCGTCAGGCCAAGGTCCGCAACCGCCGGGCATAATGGCAGGAAAAACGCTCGCGCCAGTCGAAGCGATACTGCAAGCAGCGGCGACGTTGGCGTGGCGGGGATGGCGGGAGGGCGGGGGGTGTAGGCGGCGAGGGTGGAGGCGTGGGAGAGATTAGTGGCAGAGGGGGCCGGAGGGCGGCGAAGATTCAGTGGCGCGAGTGCAGGCCGGAGCGGTGGGTCGGGGATGGCGGGGGCCGGTGGGAATGGGGGGGCTGCGTGGGAGGCGATGCGGCGGGGGCGGCGGGACGCCGGGTTGGGAGAGGAGATGGGGTCGCGGGACAGGCGGGGGAGGTGGAGGAGGCTTCGATGGAGATTAGGTGGTGGCGAAGGGGGGCGTGCGGCGGCGGGTGGATGCGGCTGGCGGCGGCGGAGACGGGGATGCGGGGGGGTGAGGGGTGTAGAGGCGAGAGCGGAGGCGTGGGAGATATTAGTGGCAGAGGGGGCCCGCGAGGGCGGCGAAGATGGCAGGCGAGGGAAGGCGGAGCAGTGGGTCGGGGAGGTGATGGGGGCGGCGGGGGTGGCGGTGGGGGTGGGGAGGCGGAGGAGAGGGGCGGCGATCGGTGGCGGGGGCGGCCGGGCGGCGGGGGCGGGGGGCGGCGGGGCGGCGGGCGGCGGGGACGGCGGGCGACAGCAGGCGGCAATGAGGATGAGGTGGGGGCGAAGATAGCGAGGGGGGGCGGTGGGGGCGGCGGCGAGACGGGAACTGCGCTATTAGCAGCAATCGCGAGCGGAACCGCCGTTCGCGCGAGCCCATCCGTCGCGTCGCCCTGGCGCAAGCGAGCGGCGTTCGCGCGCGCGCGTTCTCACGGAGAAACCGGCCGCGCGAAGGCGAGCGCTTTGTCGCGTCCTTCGCGCGTCATCGTTTGTCCATCGAGTGAAGAAACCAGAGATGGCGGCTGCGGCGGCGGCGGCGAGACGATTCTCAGGTCACGACGCCCGTCGCCCGGCCCAAATGAGGTGCTTCGCGCCCGAAGACGCGGTGGGGGTGCCGCAAGGTTCGATGTTGAGACCTTTCGCTTTTGGAATTGACATTTATTCGGGAACGTCTGATGGACTTAACGAGCCGAACGACCGCCAATTTGAGGGCTTGTGTGCTTATAAATATGCACATTTTTATACCTAATATTTCGATTTAACATCATGTTAAATAAAATTTGTGAAGAACATTTATAAATACATTGAGATTATTGCATCTAAAAGAAATATTCATTTCCAAAACAAAGAACTGCAGTAACCTAATCACATGCATAGTTTTATACAACTAATTTACATGAGTCAATGTAAATGCAATCTTTAAAGAAACAGTAATTTTTTGAAATTATGTTCATGAACAAAATGCTATCACTATGTTTTATGAACAGTTGAATAAGATTTTATTATAATGTTTTGTGTGATTTAATGTTATTGGGTACTTTATACTATTATGGCATATTACAGAACAATTATTAAAAAAAATAAAGAGCAAAGAGTGATAGAGCTGGGTTATGCGAATAAATTAATATTATATTTCCAGTATCATATACCCTGAATTTTTACTAGAACACAATTTTGTACTAAACAAATAAGCTCGTTACTGAGTACAAATACCCTACTGGAGTCCATAGTTATGCTCATTTCATGGCATTACCATCACAATGATAATTCGAAAAGGAAGGTTGCTTATTCCACAAATATGTTATTCTTCGTGATCAGCAAATCCCCATTGTATTCAAACCGTCCTTGAGGAGAACCTTCGCGATTCATCCGTAATCGTAATAGAATAGATATCGCCCCTAAAATGTCAAGTACGAGCACGAGCGTGAGCTCATCGGTGGAGCATCGCAGACCGTTACGAAGCGTCGTCGATGTGTTAATCGTCCCTCATTGGCTGAGAAGCAGCTGCCCGCGTCATCTCCCGGGTGCGCCGTAGTCGTTCGGGGTGCGATCCGGGAGCAGGCCAGCGCGCGGGTGTGGGTGGAGGCGGCTGGCGAAGACGAGCGGTGAAGGTCGCTGAAGGACGAGCCCGCAATACGGTTAGCGGAGTAGAATAACGGACGGGGGGGGGGGGAATGGTCGGTCGGGAAAGGTGAATGGGGAATACTTTGGAGAGTGGGTGCGGTAAATGCGGGTAGCGGGACCTAGTGATTACCGAAGTAGTTAATCTACGTTTGTTCGAAAGTGGGAATTGGTCATATGAGAATAAGATGGTGGATAAAGGAATGTATAGGTCATCAGATAAAAAGTTTTAATAGGAATTAGTACGTCCGGGTGTAAAATTATTGGGGTTACAAATGCGGTGGAGTTACATCCAGCCTTATAGAGGATCTTACGCAATCTTTGCTAGAATAGAACAGTTGAAATATTTAAAATCTACATGGCCATCACCATTTAGTAAATTTCGCTCCTCTATTCTCTCTTTCTGCAACAACGTTCTGTGATAATATTGTTGTGACAACCCCGGCGTATCAAAACGACTACAATACATGTGATATAATATATTCGTTTCAAACTTTATTAATATTTTATACGAATAGCATAATTCATAGTCATAATAGTCATAATTTCGGAGAAAAGAAGATTAGACGTTTGTACCACCCTCCCTTGTGCCTCAAAACTCTTACACGATTTTACTTCCGCAATTCTTTCGCGTATTTTGGTGACGACTTTTAAAATGTTAAAAAATACTAGGTACTTAAGAGGTTCATTAATAACTCCAAGTAAGCTGGCTTCAACCTTCGTACGTGAAGGACATTAACTGCAACTGGATTAAGATGACATAAATGTCCTCGGCTTACTCATATTTAATAATGAATCAAATAAATCAAATAAATCATCAAAAAAAACAACAAAATATATCAAATAAAAAATCAAATTAAGTTTAAAAAATATATTACTTCATTTACCCCACGAGTAAACAAAAATGTCGTCGCAGCATGTTGCTGCATCTCTAAAGATCGTCGGAGATTTTCTCAATCACACGAGGGATTATAAGAGAATGGAAGATACACTCGTCGCTCGATAATGATGAAAATGAAGACTAAATGGGTATTAAATGTAATGCGCTCTCACTACTCCTTTATGTTAGGGTTATGCTCCTGCTTTATTCTGTAATTGATAGGAGAAAAGAACGGAAAAAAGATCTGCCATTATCTAGCATTCTTATGGAGTTTCTAGTCTCCACCAATCTTCTCTAGGGTAGTCATATTTGACCCAGCCATGACGTCGGAAAATCGGAAACTACCTTCAAAACTTATAATTTCCCGATCTACAAAGCGTCAGTTACCATACTGGATAGCCGAGGTTAGAGGGCCCTGCCTGCCTCGGCTCGAAGAGTCATAAGTTCGAATTCCGCACCGGCCATGGATGTTTGTGTGTTCGTGTTATCCGTATGTGTTCCCCTAACAGTTACCTCAATGTTAAAAATCACAGTGGACGCTATAAGATCAAGCATTTAAAAAGCGGCCTTAAATAAAAAATATCAATTGTGATATCGCAATTGATATTCCCCCCCCCCATCCCCCACTGATATTCCCTCCCCCTCCTGCATTGCAGTGGGTTAAAAAAACTAAGAGTACGTTCAGAGTGTTTGTGTTTGCACGAATTCGCGTTTTGGTGAACACGGCCGTTTATGACCGAATATTTTAAACACTCAATAAAAAGCAGGCATGGTCGCACTGCATTTGAAATGTACTGGCGAACATGGCCGAATTCTCAGTTGACGGTATCCAATGGACTTGTTTTATTTGGCTAAACTGAGTCACTGAGTCATACATAGAGAAATTTGTTTCGTTTAAAAGATGAAATCACATGTGGAGAACGTTCTTTTCAATTATCCGAAATTAGTGGCAGAATTGTGTAGAAAAGGTCAATGGAATGGCTGATAGATTAAGTGCTAACTAATGCAATAGAAATGTTAATATTTTTTACAAATATGTC